GCATTCATCACACTCATTCTCAGCACATGGTAATGGATTCTCTTGACTTTTTTTGGTGAATGAGTGTGTGTTCAGCAAACCTTACACTTATCAAGTAGAGTGAAGTGAGAAGTGCTAGTGTTTGAGTAGACATCGTTGCACTCATACAACCATGTGAGAAGTGCTAGTGTTTGAGTAGACATCGTTGCACTCATACAACCATGTGCAAAAAAAAACAGAAGCTGACAAGCTGACAAGATTATAAATGCATCTTGTAATTTCAGAGCTTCCCAGCTGAAGTGTTCAAAGAGATGTGCTGGGATATGAGAAACAATTGAATAATCTCCCAAATGTGCCACTCTACTTTATGAATCTTATGAACAGAATTTGTCAATGATAAAAGATCTACAACACTGGTCAAGAGCTGGATACTGAATCGTGCACCTGTGACTTTTTGACTGACCATTTGAATACAATTTAATTAGTAAATCAATACTTGATGTGAAGCATTTTTCATAGTATTGTTTGCAATAGAAACCCATTTGTTTTCTCTATACCAGTGCATTTTCTTTAGACCTCTTCCTTCTAAATTGACATTTCCGAGCAAAATAATAGGAACAGCACGGAAGACTGACAGCTTTACGTCCCCTCTGACTGAACACCATATTTCCAAACACAATGCCACAAACCTGGCAGGTGGGCAGTATTTACTCATTTTTTTTCACTGCTGAGTGTGCAGCTGACCACAATCTCCCTGGATGCCGGGTGGACCAGCCCCGTGTATTTTTACATTGACTCGATCAGATAGAGATTAAGCCACACATCAGGACTGAGTTTAGTTCAATTTACTACATATGTTAAAGACTTTAATTTCATGAAAGACCAATTTGATTAATGATTTTTCAGATATTGTAAAATTTCGACAGCAGCACTGGGATTCTCAAGACATGGTAATGGTGCCTTGTCCTCTCATCACTCTGAAATTCTGATCAAAGTTGTTATCTAAGATACACGAGCAATGTCACAGAATTAGTACATATAATAGAAATAAAACTTGGTCGATGCCACCACACCATACTACAATAATTTATAATTGATTGTCGTTGGTTATTCAGCCTATGGAGCGTCTTTACATTAGAACCCCACTGCGATAACACCCTGAGGCACAATAAATGATCAGTAAACCCAAGCAACACCATACCAACCTTGCATACAAACTCCCCCATTCAGAGCTATAGAAGAATTCAAATTCCATCAAAAGGGATAAGAAAAGTGTCATCCCTGGGCAACATGTATAGACAGTGGGAGTGATAGTAACAGAACGCCGATCACACCTTCTTGACGATCACCACACTATTTAGAGTACTTAATGAGGGGGAACCTTAATTTCCTAACAGGATAATTTTTAAAAGCGATAAGCTGAGATGAACAATTCATACAGATATTTTCTGGTAGTCCTGATAAAATAAGATTACACCAGAATGCTTATATGGTATTGGCCACTATGAAGACTTCAAATGTGTTGCACAGAATGTTTGCGCAAAACAGAGGGTGCGCATCAATCCTTAAGAAAGGCACATGTCAACACAATTACAGAGAAAATGTAAGGCAAACGCCAAAGGAACCATGAAAAGTAGCAAACAGATTTTACTTACTATGTGAGAGAATTTACATCAGAGGTGAACAACAAAAAGTGGACATGAACCAAAAGAACAATGAATTTCACTGGGGTCCTTAAAGACAGATGGCCAAAGTAACAAACCTCAAATCTTCCTCTAGTTTCAGCTTATTGATGACTATTTGGGTTTTTTATTACAAAATGCACATGTGTGCATACATGTAATTACAAAATGACCAATACATGTATGTCATTTTTTGTTATTAGGAACATACAACTGGCAGTAGTTGTTGTTATTTGGGGTAGGGTGAGATGTCTCATTGGTTTTAGAAAAAAACAATACAAACCATTGTTATTAAAACAGGACAACAAAATGTAATACTGGAACACACTACATGTGAATCAGAAATTCAATTTGTAGATTCTGTTTGACAATAGAATGGTATGTTAAGGAGTTTTGTGGAAATGCATCACCCATTGAGAGTTTGAAGCCAGTCTTGCATGAATTCTCATGAATGGTTAAGCATAGACTGTTGTATGTATCATTTGCCATCGTAGGTGATTGTCATAGCGCCATACAAGCTTAGTAACAACAAACTCCCAGACTGACGCAAGATATACTCTTCCAACTAGATGGCTAAAGCGTTCACTTGATCGCTTTGGGCCAAACAATGCCAATTGAGAGTACATTTTCCCAGTGGTTGAATAACTTCAAAAGAATTGAGATTTAGAATAAAATATCGGTAATTAATTTACGTTACAAAACCACAGGTGAGAATAATTGCATTTTTTAACCTGTATGTTTGTTTCAAATACCATATTTGCTCTAATTAAAGTGCATCTCTAAATAGCACATTTAAACCAAAAATTGCATATGATATTAAATTGAAACATTAAAATATTGGTTATTTTGGCCACAGAAACCTCTGCAATTTACTTCAGTGCATGTGTTAGTAACAGAGCCAGAGGTTGAAAGAGATACGATACATACATATATTGCATAGTTATTTTGTAGAATACTAGTAGTTGATGGTAAATTGTTCATACAAAATGCATGCATTAGGAGGGAAAAAAGGGGTATGTTTCTGGTCAGCATGCATGTCAATTCAAAAGCGGCGACTCACAACCTTTTTTTCTGTTTTTTCTGCACCTTTTTTCAGAACACCATCATCTATGTCCAATAATCAGAATCAGAGTACGGCTGCACACTTTTGGTGTCATTTGTTTGCATATATTTTATATTCACGTAATAATGATCCAAAATAAATTTTGCAATACCGCATGGTCTGTATTTATGCTAATAATCAACAAACATGCATTGTACATGTTGCAGGGGACCCATATGGAATACACAACGAATGCAACAATTTCTGTAATGTGTAAGTGTATCAAGGTTCCATATACTTAACGTCTAATCTACGTACCAAATTTTAACAAAATCTGTCAATACACAACTGAGATCTGGTTCCGAATGACAGAAATGTTTGATTTTAATGAATTGTTAACACTAAAATGGCCGCCATCCGACCA